CTACACTGACTCCTTGCGATCTTGCTACGGTACGAAAGCGCAAAAACGCATAATCGCTCCGGCCCGTCTGGTGCGTTCCAGCCTGGGTTGCAAATTGATATGCATACAGGTACAATCAGATACAGGAAGGCAAGAGGCGACGGAAGAAGAAAGGAAGGGGAAATGCAGAATAGCCCAGGCTTACTGCAGAGAAGACTTCAATAGATCATGGATGAGCACCAGCCACTTTTCAAACAGACATTATTTTACTGTAAATTGTAGCTATTATTGCTTTGCCATGAATCTGTCGAGAACGCTGTGAAAGAGCAGGACAAAGGGAGAGGGGCAGCGATATCTTCTTGGATAGAAGAGTTATAACCTGGGAAAATCACAAGCATTTAGGCTTGTTCATTGTAGCCAATTAACTTGATAAGCCCGAGTGGACCTGAAAAATGTTAGGATGCTGGACTACTCGGACGCATAAGCCGGATAAATATCCAGGGATATTCAAATTAATGTGTCTCCTGTGTGAGAGCGAACAAAATGCATCTCTACCTCGTCCAATATTAGCCCAGTGCTGGAGAGATTATAAGCATCTGCGGCAACCGGCTCGAGATGCGCGCAGAAAAGCCGCTTACAAGTCCAATCATCTCATTCACTAAGAGCTTTTCAATGAGCACGCTGCACCGCAGAAGAACCATAATACTAATAATGCCGCGCCTCACCTCATCCAGATGCATTATTACATCCACTCATATTGTTTACAGCATGCCCGCTTGTGCGCTTGAAAAGTGTTCGATGTAAGCAGATCAGTCCCGGGGCAGAAGGAGAAAATTCCCACTGCTAGCTCCCAGCCGTAATCTTCATGATAAAACGCAGGGCGATGAAAATGACGCATTTATTATGGTCTAAGTGCCTCCAACACCAGTGATAATTATTACAAACACTTATCTGGTGGCTGAATCACTGAGGCGGATTAAATTAGAACGTAAAACCAGAATCATCTCTGTACTACTTGTAAAGCCTAGAAAATATAAATGCCAGAAATATTAGCGATACTAACAGCTTTAAATCTTACAAAATTTGTATTGAATTATAATATCTTACCAAAAAATAAGAAACAATTGAAAAAATTCAACACAGAATTGAATAAACTGTTCGATTTTACCAGCTTTGGAAACTTACAGCAAGTCATGCTATATAGAAGGGTAGAAGGTAGAAAGGGGAGCGGGAAGCTTTTATTCATCATAAACAACAAGGAAAACTATTTTTTCAAAAAGACTCACTCTGCCTCACAGTACCTCGTGAAAATTTAAGGTCCAACTGTCTAATTTATAATACTTTTTTGCTAAAAATAAGTAAAATTGACTGGTAAAACTCAGAACATTTAGCGCAACATCATTACCTTTTCACCAGTAGGTTATTTGAGTGTATTCGGGAGAAGCACTAATACTAGGTCTTCACGCTGATTGTCTGAATAATTTTGAAGCTTAAATGAAGGTGACTGGTTCGCGCCAAGCCTGACATGTCAGTGAAGATTTTTAATGGCTAACAAAAATTATGCACCAAGGAGATTTATTTTTTTCCCCTGTATAATATTATTTTTATAATAAATAAAAATATATGCGTTCGGCTTTATTGGTTTTACTGCAGCAGTACCGTTCCGCATGCATCCGTACATTTGCGTAAAATCTGTCTCAAGGTCATTTTGACACATTGTAAATGTGGAAACGACCACATTCCACTCGACCCGAGCTGATGACCTAATCAAATGCGGTCGGCCCACGCTTATGTCTCCCTCCGTGTCTGTCCACACCTAGTCCTCCTGTCAATGGCCTCTGTCCAAGGCACACATATTACAATAACGCACATATTTATTATTATTGTTGTTATTGTTATTATTGGATAGGACAAACAGAAAGAAGTGGGAGTGGTGGCACGTTGGAGTGTGTTGGTAATAAAAACGATGATGGCTTCCCTATTACAGCCCACTGCCATACTTTACAATTATCAATAAAAGTTGAGAACTGAATAATTTATCAACTGAATTTTTAAATTGTGCTGAATTTATCAACTATGAAAATTCCGGAAATTTGATGCAGTAGCGTAAAAATATCTTAAATTGCTCCAAAAAGCGCAACAAATTTTTAAAAATATGAAAAAGTGGACTCCATTTTAAGGAACATTAAAGAATCGAAGAAATTATGAACTTGATCCACATAAGAATTTGAACTGTTTGCTTTATGATAGAGGAAAGTGCCAAAAAAAGAAAAATTAACTTGCCTTGAACACATCAGAAATCCATGGATCACAACGAAGCATTAAGTGAGGAGATGAGGACAGTTACGGCTTATGAAACACAGAGTGTTCTGTGCGGCGCTTTCTATAGATTTTTGATAGCGAAAATACATTCTTTTATTTTCAGTTCATTCAAAATAATTTTTCATGTTAAAATCAGTAAAATGCTGCTCGTGGGGCTGTAAGAATTGTTGAAAATTGGATTTTCAACGACTACTATAAACTAATGATCAGAAAGCAAACGAGCACCTAAAAAATCTAGACTATCCACCATTCAAAAAATCTAGACTATTCAAATACTGAAACGAATGAAAACCAAGAAAACTAAAATCAACCGAGCAATCGGTGCCAGGACGACAGTTTTCTTACTGGGTACTTGCAAACAACGGCGCACCTATGCAGGATGAAAACAATAAAAACAAGCCTAAGGTAACATAATTCCAGCTCGATCTCAGTTCGAATCGTATAGCAGAGATTGAAGATGAGAACCTGGTGGGCC